CCTGTTTCTCTTTTCTAAAAAAAAAAAAGTAAAATAAAATTAGAATTACTCTTTCATGCTTCCATGACACTTCACCCATTTTCTCAGAGTTCACAAACAGTGAAATATAATAGTTCTCCCACCTGCAACTTATCATAATACACACGACTGAGCATACTGCTAGTTGGGAGATGTCAGATCAGCTGAGTGTCTTTAGCGTGCCATTCAAATCATGCATATTACACTTGTGCTAATCTGTTCATTCAAGAGATCACTACTGTCTCTAGAATCCCCTCTGGCTATCTGACTGAATACAGATCGAGGTGCTGCAGGAGGCAGGGAAAGACTGGAGCAAGAGTTTGGTTGGGAAGAAAAAGAACAGAGCAGTTCACTGGCTCAGGTCTCCAGCCCCAGGAAGAGCAGGCCTCCCTGGCTGAGTGGGAAGCAGTGCTGACTCTGGATGCTTTAGCTTTCCAAGTTGTTGGAAGGACAAACTGATAGAGTATCAGGTAAAGATTAATCTTTACTAACCTGCTGTATTTAAAGCACTCTGCTGGGCGCTAAACGTATTTACCTAAATTAATCCACACATACGCAGACAAATACATATCACTGAAGCTCAGAAACTATTAAGTCACACAATTAAAAGTGGTCTGATTTTAAATCCCTGGCTCTTTTCTCTACATCGCATCATTTGTTCAGAAAATATTTAATGAACTCTTACTACTGTGCTAGGTATTGTATTAAGCACCGGGAATACAGTGGGGAATACACAGATAATCGTACAGAAATAGGCAATTATAATACAGTGTGACAATTGCTATTCAGAGTAAAAGCATGAAGTGAGATGGTTGCCTATGGGAGGAGCACCCATCCCTAACCTGGGACAGTAGAGGAAGCAAACCTCTTAACTGAGCCTGAGAATTAGCCAAGGAAGCAGGAGTCTAAACAAAGGGAGGCACTGGGCAGTGCAAAATAGAGGGTTTGGGCACATAAAATCCCAAAGTGAGGATGAGTATTTTTAAGAGCTGGGGAGCTAGAAGACTAGCAAGACCTGAGAACAGAAAGGTAAACAGAGAGCAGAGAATATACTGCCTTTTAACCTAGGTTGGGCTCTACACTAAGAGCAATGAGGAGTCACCGGAGGGCCAAAAGCAAAACAGAATGATGAGATCTGGAAAGGGTAGGAAATTAAGACTGGCGGCAGGGGATCAATCAAGAAGCATGATGCTTGATGTTGATTCAATGATGGGGTGAAGGAAAAGAGAGGTTAAGAACAACTAATTTTCCTATCTTACTCCAAAGCCCACGTTTAAAACATCTGCACAGCTTCTCTAATTCTCACATGACAACATTTCAGTTTTATCTGTAGATAGGAAGCAAGGTATCTATGGAAACTGAGAGGAGAGGTGGCAGGAAGAGATTTAGTGAGGTCTAAAGCAGCCACTACGTAGCATGGGAAAGAGCTGAGCAGAGAGAAATGGGCTACAGATCAATCTGAGGGCACAAATGGGAGTGAAGGCCAAGGGGTCGCCATCTGTACATACGTGAGAATGTCTCCATCAGCACTCAGCAGCCACAGTGAGGATCAGAGAAGATGGACAAATAGACTAGTCCATAGTCATGTTGGCCAGAAGTGGGAGAAAAGAAGATCAATAAGGTAAAGGTGTTAAGGAGAGAAGGAAGAGAGTAGCTAAAGCCAAGAAACTGGCTTGTAACCTGACTTTTGGAGAGTGTGGCACTTCATCTGAAACCAACAGAAGATAGTCCTCTCAGCGCAACTGCAGCTCCCAATCCAGCCCCTGTTCCGTAAGGCCAGAAACTATTCCACAAGACAGAGCTGAGTAGATCTGAGCTGAACAGGCTAAAAGGCCTAGTCTTCTCTTTGCTGAAATAACTGTTTTTTCAGAGTCACTCACAAAGAAATAACCTATACATCTCATCAATTTCATGACAATGGATTCCTTGACCTGAGCCTAATCTACTCTCTTTCAGGACAAAAACTCTTAAATGTTGATTTACTTAATGACAATCAATCTACTTATACCCACTGTTAACCATTCATAATTCTCCCTGACATTCATCAATGTGGATAACGTAGAGACCTCTGTTGCCAGATTGTGAAAGATCTTGGTTACCCAGCTGGATCCTGTCCACAGATGGATAAAGAGGAGGCCTGAGAGAGATGTGAATGGGAAGAATGGGAGGGGAGGGCAGAAGTAATGCTGTCACTGCTGAAAATATATTTGGAGAGTTCTTCTTGGGACATGCCCTCAGGTCCATGCCATTTGTTTTAGGAAGAAAAAGAAAGATAATATTTTATTAAGTGTTAGCTATTGGTTTTTTTTTAAATACATTTTTTTAGATTTATCAACCAATGGTTATTGGCACCAATTCAACACCAATAAGAATTTGGGTGTGGTGAAGGAAACTTTATGCAGTGATACAGCAAAGCGGTGAAAACAGCATGATCATAGAGCAGCTCTGGGGCCAGGAGGCCTTGGGGGTAGGACCCTCTCCAGTGAGACAGCTGTCCGCTAAGGTCTGCTCTGCACTGGTCTGCTAGCGCTGCGCGTCCACTCCACTCTGCTCCGGGAGACACCTTTGGAGTTTCAGTTCAGTCAGGGAGACTCCTCGGTGGAAAGGGAAGGTGCACTCCCGTGCCATTAAAAAAAAAAAAAAAAACAGATCAGCCGAAACCGGTTTGGCTCAGTGGTAAAGCGTCGGTCTGTGGACTGAAAGGTCCCAGGTTCGATTCCGGTCAAGGGCATGTACCTTGGTTGCTGGCACATCCCCGGTGGGGGGTGTGCAGGAGGCAGCTGGACGATGTTTCTCTCATCAACATTTCAAGCTCTCTGTCTCTCTCCCTTTCTCTCTGTAAAAAATCAATAAAATATATTTTTTTAAAAAACAGATCAAATTCGTCACTTTACCCACTTTCCTTCAAAATATCTTTTAATAATTTTGCTTCCTAGAGTCAAATCAACACTCTTCCAGAAGTAAGGAAAACAGGTTTGTAACATGTACCCCTACTGGGAATTGAGCCTTTTTTTTTTTTTTTGCATACAAGACTATGCTCCAACCAGCTCAGTCACCCTGCTAAGGCACTGCTATGATCTTTTTAGGGAACAAAACACTAAGGACACATTAGCAAATGAGGCTTTGACTGTTGACATAACCTGAGAGCTCATACCAATGAATCTAAGAAGTTTTTAAAAAGATTGAGATTCTAAGGAAAAACACAAAGTAATTATGTGGTTTCAGGAAAAGTTCAGCTTCAGTAATTTCTTCACCTTTTCTACTGTTGCTATACTACCGTATGACAACCCCTGGGGGTCACATTACTGGATTTTGGGGAACATTACAGAATGATGTCTAAATTGCAGAAACTTAAAATACACTCAAAGCTAACTCATGGGATTTAAAACTTGCAGAAGCACATAAAACATCTGAAATTATATAAACCACTATCTGATCAACTTAAATATGGGCTTTTAATAAGATCTCAAGAATATAATCATATAAACATGAACTTACTGAAATTTCATTTCAATATGATTTTCAAAAAATCATACTTAGGACATAAAATTATAACATCTAGTGAATGATTTCTGTGTCTGTCAAAGCTAAAAGTCATTACACAAAATATATGGAAATCTGTGATGTAATTTAATGTCTGATAAATTGTCATCACATATCTCTTCCTTGAAATATAACATTCTAACATGAATTAGATTCCATAAAGGCTTAGGTTTTTAAATAATTTTTATATGCTGATGACCAGCTCTTGATAATCTGATCTAATAGCAATCTGTTAATAAAGCAACTGGGTTCCTAGTTAAGAGAATGGGATTCTTGCATCTGCTTGTGAAAGTACTTCATAACGTTTGTTTTTTTTTTTCTTTTTGCAGGAACATCAAAGCTATATGACTGCATGGAAAAGTTGTTTATGCAGTTTCAAAGGGGAGTTCAGTAGCTCACTAGAGATGCAAGAAAGCACTCAATGATCATCTAAATGTCTGCTAAAAGTCAGAAAGTCTAACTAAAAACCTATATCAGCATGTAGAAAAATGACATAAAATGCCTCATAAGGTCTTCTTGATCTACAGCGCACAGGACTTGTACCACAACACTAGCTGCTTTGGAAGCCACACGACCATCCAGTGCAGCTGCGTAAGCAGTTAGGGGTGCAGAAAGCCTCTTCTCGTCAGAAGCCTGGCTAGGAATTTCAGGAAACCCAAGTCTTAGGCTGCTTTCCAGAGAAAAGTCTCAGAAGACCCACTAGTTGTGGGATATAGAAAATTCAATACCCACCTCCTACCATAGTTAACTATATGGCAAGTATATACACACATACACATATATACATATATGCCCATATACACATATATACATAAAAGGAATGCTAGTCTGTGACACTTCATCTTCACCACTCTGGAAGTGACAGACGTCAGAGAGAATGTCGTAATTGTCATTTTAGCCCCCGCAGCACCCCTGGCACTGGGCCTCACACATGACAAGCAGCAGTAAATACGCACTAAGCTAAATTTTATGCATGAATACCCCTGTCTCTTGAGTCTTATTTCTAATGTTTCTTTTTGTCCCACATCGGCCCTATTTCCTCTAACTTCACCCCCTGCATCACTGTGCCTTTGAACTGATAATTTAGACAACATAAAATAATAGTATGCTGTATTTACTGGAACAGAATTTTTGATTCACTTTTTTTTTTGTATTGGAAAAGTAAATAAAAACACTATCTTTTATCTGTAAAACGCTATACAAATTAAATTATGTTATGGGTAAGTATTCTTCAACAAAAAAGTTCCATAACCCTACACTAGAAATGTGCTTTCTGCTATCTTGAAAGAAAAAGTTACTTTTAAAATTTATTAGTGTTAAAGCAAAGAAACAAAAATTTCCTCGCTGGCTATAAAAAAGTAATATATAACTATTCTGGTTTCTATGGAAGTATACTTTCAAAACAGAAAATTAATATTCAATGGAAAAAAGCCACATACTTTTCATAGTCCCATCTTCTTCCTCTTCATCCTCACTGTTTATAACCATGGTCCCCAAGTCAGACTCCAGCATGGTGCTGTTATGCTCAATCATGGTCTGGGCGCCCTCGCTCATGGTGCTCGTGGCCCTCATGGTGCCCACGCTTTCCGAGCTGGTCTTCACCATGGTGTGCGAGTCCAGCTCGTCTTCATCCTGCAAGAAGAACACTGCAGTGAAGGCAGGCTTTCTTAAGACAGCTAGATTCTTACCTCTCAGCATACTTTTAATCATGAAAAATACTACTATTACTGCTGATTTTAATGTAAGGATACACATACCAATGTTATCGTAAGAGCCAGTTATCCATAAGAACCTAAAACTTTAGGTAATTAAAGCTAACTCAATAGAAAGTGATGAAATACAAGGCTGCTCTAGCTATTTTTAAAATAAGGGCTGAAATATGTAAATTATCAACAAATGCATAACAAAGAATACAGTGACAAAATAAATAAAAGAGAGCACATTAAAGACAGAACATGTTGACACTATAACAGCTATAAAATTTATAGCCTTATACAAAGGCAATTAGCTTTTTAAAATTTGTGATAAATATGCATAACGTAAAATTTAACATTTTAATCATTTTCAGTATATAGTTCTGTAACAATGAGTACATTCATACTGTTGTGCAATCATCACCTACACCAATTTCACTACACCCAGAACTTTTTCATCATACCAAACAGAAACTCTGTACCTCAGTCTGCCCTTCCCCAAATAACCGGTAACCTCTATTCCACTCTCTCTCACTGTGAATCCAAAGTTCAACCTGAGTCACTAGCTGCCAAAAACTCCTATCATGCTATGCTCATTCAGTCCCTCTCTCTGCTCATGTCTTCTTCTGCACCCAGAGTTCTCTTTCTTCTCTATTCATTTTAACTAAACATAGTTAGTCCCAGATCAAGTATGTATTACGTTCATGGTTAACTCAGTCTTTTCTAATTACTCTCTTTTCCAATCTTTTATAGGATTTATAATCTGCATTACACACTTTTACATTTAAATTTGTGAACTCATAACTGTCAGCTAAGTCCTTTATAAACGTAAGAATCATATAGATAGGAATGCTTTATGGTACTTTTGACTTTACTAAAGTGTTTCATTCAGTATCCTGTTATGCAGTAAACATTAATTATATGTTTACTTTTTCAAAGAATTATAAAATCAGGGACCTTTAATAATTCATACCTTCATTTTGTATCTGAAAAAAAAACTGAGGCCCACAGAAATTATGAGATTTCCCCAAGGCCACACACCTATTTAGTCGAACTGAAAACAAAACAAAACCGTAGAACTTGAACTAAAAAACTAGTTCCTTCATTTCTTCACTAAATACTTGTACTTAGTTACATTTCAATTTTTATCTACTTGAATGCTTAAGTTAGAGGCCCAGGCTTACAATTTTAACAGCTATGTCACCAGCTTCTATTCCGAGTCCCATGCAAATTATTTGGTCATTCCCAGTCAAAGCCATGATCTTCTCCCATTTGGCTTATGAAACAGCCTCCTAACAGTTTTCACTGCTTCCAATTCTTGCCCTCTTTAGTCTCTCACACAAAAGGCAGATTGATCCTTTCAAAAGACAAATCACATCGTGTTACTCTCCTGCCCAAAACACTGCATTTGGCTTCCCATCACACTTAGAATAATATCCAAAATCTGTCATAGCCAAATGTGATCTGGCCCAGTAATATTTGCCAATCCCATCTCCTATCACATTCCTTCTCACTCATCAAGTCCCAGCCATGCTGGCTTGTGTGCTGTTTCTTGAGCATTCTAAGCATAGTCCTCCTCCAGCCTTTAAGTTGGCCTGTCTCTCAGCTTGGAATACCCCTCCACACCAGCTCGATCCTTTACTTAAATCAAGTCTCTCCTTAGATGTTACTGCCGTAGTGCAGCTTTTCTGACCCCCAATCTAAAATTGAAGTCTCCACCATTCTTTTATCTTTCTCTATTCTTTATAGCCTGAACCTGGCTTCTCCACCACTAGAATGTAAGGTTAATAAAGGCAGAATGCCTCTTTTTCACTGATGAATCCACAATGCTTAGAACAGCTGGTACACAGTAGGTATTTGACCCCCAAAAAAAATGTATTTAATGAACGGATCAATTTATATTTGCACTCATTAATTTATTCAATGAACATTTATTGCACATTTACATGTTAAGTCATGAACCTGGCTTTGAGATCAATGAATTACAGGGTATTCTAAGTGCTGTAAGAAAAAATGCTGGCAAGTACAATGGAGTATCAAGAATAGAGCCTCTGGCTCTGCCTTTAATAAGTGAAGAAAGCCTCACAGAGCAGTCTGCCTCTAAATCAGGTTTTGAAGGATAAGCAGACTAGGTATGTAACATATATAAATACCTTTGAGTGGCTACAACTTCTCTCTTACAATAGAACTACTCAGCTCAAAAACGAGAGACTGAATTAGTGTCATGCTTTTATATTGCCATAGCACCTTGTACTTTTGCTGATCATACACTTATAACACAATACTGTAGTTGTCTGTACATCTGACTTGTCCAAATCTCCCATTAGTCTCTAAAATCTATAAGGGCAGTAACCAAAACTAGTTAACAGTTACAATCCTGGTAACCAGTACAAAGCCTTAGTCTAATTATGTAATCTATTAAATGAATGGTAAAGCCCTCACTTTGAGGTGGTGCTAAAACACAGAACTAAGGAAAATACCATGTAAGGTTCTAGTGTAGAGCTTTATTTAAATCTACTTATTATTTTAAAACATAGAATGACTACTGAAGAAACTTTGGGAAGAAAATAATGCTATTAACTAGAATTACATTTAATCATTAATCTAACAATTAAAAGTTATCATCAATAAGTTCTTAACACTATGCTAAGGATTTATTGTAGGCTACTCTCATTTTACCTCTTATTAATCCTGTGAGATATTATTATCCTCATTGTACAAATAATACATCTGACATTTAAATGGGTCTAATAATTTGTCCAAGGTCATAATACAATAAATAAGTGGAGGAGCAAGGGTTCTAACTAGGTCATTCTAATTTGAAAGTCCAAGATCTAATTTCCAATTGAATAAGGCTTTTAAGTTATCAACAGAATTTCTCAAGTCTAATTTAACTTATATTACAGGTTAGCAAGAGCACTTTTCATTTTGCTAAGTTAAGAGATGAAGAAACGCCTGGCCAGCATGGCTAAGTGGTTGATCATTGACCTATGAGCCAGGAAGTCACAATTCCATTCCCTGTCAGGACACATGCCAGGGTTGCAGGTTCAATACCCAGTGTATAGTATGTAGGAGGTGCTGATTCATGATTCTCTCTCATCACTAAGGTTTCTATCTCTCTCTCTCCCTCTCTGAAATCAATAAAAATATTTAATAAAAAAAGAGATGAAGAAACTGACATACATAAACAAACTGATTTGTACTTGTTCAAAAAGCAAATTTTACAAAAAGTTAGGATTTACTCTTCCCAGTAGATTCCATTGAAGAGGGAGTGAGGAAGGGAGGGAGGGAGGGAAAAGTTGGATATTCTATCAGTTCTTTTTAAAAATCTACTGCTGGATTAATATTTTATCGTGGTTACAACCAGTTTATTCCCAAAACACTACATCTATTTTTATATGTGTGAGTCATTGTCTTTTATCCTTATAAGATTCAGTGCTGTGACCATTAAAGTTAACAAGAAACATAACATCTGGTTGGTGTGAAATAATACTTTGAGTCTTCCTATGCTCTATATTAGAGATGAATATGCAAAGGGATAATGAAGCCTGCATCTCTGGATTCAAACAATTGGCTTAGATAATCTGTAAAATTATAAAAACATTGAATCAAGTTTGGAATGAATGCTTTATTGTTTATTATTATTTTGTTAACCTCACTTTAAGGATGTATTTTTTCCATTGAATTTTTGAGAGAGAGGGAGTGAGGAGGAAAGGGGGAGAGGAGAGGTGAGAGAAAGAGAGAGAGAGAGATATGAAATACATTGATTGGTTAACTCCCACACACCTGATCTGGGACTAGGGATCAAGCTGTAACCCAGGTAAATGCCCTTGACCAGGAATTGAACCTGAGACCCTTCGGTATGTAAACCGATGCTCTAATCTGAGCCACACTGGCCAGGGCTTATTTTTACTTGCATAGTCACTTTGCTAAAGAATGCTAATCTAATTTACAAATTGTCAGTAAAAAAAAAAAAAAAAAATGGCAATGAAAAAAAGTGAGCACTCAATTCACTAATGAGATGATGGCATTCAAACAGTAATTAATGAAGTCCAGATGAAATGAGAACTGGTTTGTATGAAATAAAAAAACCATTTGATGATGGTCTTAAAAACTCTTCAGTAAAACTTTCTACTTTTTGAAAATCATTAATTCTGAAAAACTTGATATTATACATTATTGTTAAAATTTCATTTGATACTTTTTACTTATAATAAGATAGATATTTACAAAGTTTTTCTAAAGCTATACTTCATTTATATGTACTCTGTTATTCCTCACAGAAGAAAAACATGTTGATACTTTATAGAAAAAGGTCTGCAGAGCAGATGCTTCCCACTGTAGAAAGCAGCCAATTCCAGTAAGGAATACAATAGCATTTTCAATCAGTGGTCATCATGTGCCAGGAATGCAAAACAGAGTACTGATGGTAATCCAGGTTATGAATCATAAAATCCACATGGAATACAAATATTTGAAAACATTATTAGGAAATCCTACTCCATTGCTAAGACAGATTTATGCTACAATAGTCTGAGAAATAATCAGAGGCTACATTAGGTATCTTTACATTTGCAATACCTACTACTTTAAAGGATTGGCAACTACTACTTGTCTGATTTTAAGGATATTAACACAAATGCTTTAGAAAGTGTTTGTCATTTGCAACATTGAGATTGTTCAACTATTCTGGTGCCAAGAATTAACCATTAATCAGACACAACCTTATTATGTGACATGATCAAAAAGATACAACTCTATTATATGACCTATATACTTATGGTTCAAGATAGGGCATTTAATCCAGCTGTCATGTCTCAATGGTTGAGCACTGACCTATGAACCAGGAGGTCACAGTTCGATTCCCAGTCAGGGCACATGCCTGGATTGTGGGCTTGATCCCCATTGGGAAGGTATGTAGGAGGCAGTGGAACAATG